TACCTGTGGTCTCCATTGTAGTTCTTTCTTGGGGTTACTCTATAGGATCCTACTCTAAAGTTGTTGTTAAAAGGAACGACAGTGGAGACTATAGGTAGTTTGCGAGTTTTAGTTTGGGATCTCTGGATGTCGGTTGGCTTCATTGGATTTCGCCCTAAGTGGAACATGCCGTAGGCCAAGCATTTCTTGTGCAAAGGACTGGAGCTTGATCAACACGAACTCTGCCACTCGGTGGCCAGTTTGTTGATGATGTTTTAGGCTTTAAGGAAACCCGCTAAGGAAACCCTAAGCCCGCAGCCCCAAACCCAAAGCCCTAAACCCAAAGCCCGAAACCCTAAGCGCTAATCCCTAAACCCTAAGCCCTAAACCCTAAGCCCTAACCTCTAAACCCTAAGCCCGAAACCCTATCCCCTAAACCCTAGTCTCTAAACCCTAAACCCTAAGCCCTAAACCCTAAGCCCTAACCTCTAAACCCAAAGCCCGAAACCCTAAGCGCTAATCCCTAAACCCTAATCCCTAAACCCTAAGCCCTAAACCCTAAGCCCTAACCTCTAAACCCTAAGCCCGAAACCCAAAGCCCTATAAACCCTAGTCTCTAAACCCGAAACCCGAAACCCTAAACCCTAAACCCTTAGCCCCAAACCCGCGTCGTTTTCAAGGCTTCGGAGCCTCAGGTCGGATGTGCAGCGATGCGCCAGGGACTTGAGGACTTCAGACCCCCTTTTTCTCACCCATACGGTTGATGATATAAATCCTTTAGGCTTTTAGGGTTTAGGGGTTTATAGGGGTTTATAGGGGTTTATACGGGTTTATACGGGTTTAGGGTTGATGATATAAATTGGGAGTTACCTGAGGCTTCCTTTGATACGTTTATTTTTGCTCGTTTGGTTGTTGTAGCGTTTTCTGTTTTGGGAGGGGTGGCTTCAGTGTGAACGTGCAAAACGTGCGGTTAACAACCATTACGTGCAATTTCCACCATGGCCGGGCAGTTATGCTGTCTTCCGCGGGGCCGAACAGTTCCTGGCTCAGACACATGGCATAGCACGTAGCACGGGATCGATCGCGGATATCGTGTCGAGCCACGTAGCAGCCCTTAAGTTAATTGATAAGATATGGATATCGCACTAGTGTTGTCCGTCTCCGGGCATGGCTGTCTCCAATTGAGCGAGCCATCGTCTGGTGGCCAATGGGAGGTGGCAGCATCATGAGCATTATTGCAGATGCCATGCCACGATGTCGATGAGTAACCTTAGATGGTGGCTAGCACGCATGTATCTGCACAAGGCCAGTATGCATAGCCATTTGTACAGGCCTCTCAAAGTTTCGAACATCATGGCTGCAAAAGCTACATGACGACTTGCACCGCCAGGTGGCCGAGTGGAATCCTTCGTCTTCGTCCTCGTCCTCGGATGCTGGTGCACCCTCCCTGCCTCTGCACTGCATGTCACTCTGCATGTACCGGCTGTCACATGTGGGTGCTGCACCATGCATGTGTATGTGCATGCATTTTTACTTGATCGAGCTGGTACACTGCCATGCACCATGGCACCATGTGTGTAGCAAAGGGGCACTATACATCTATATGCACGCAGCTTCATATTAGCGATGCCTTGTTCGGTTGCCATGGATACCATGGATGACAGCCGGGATGTGAATCCGGATTCCGACGTTTCGGCCACCGATCTGGCCCGTGCTTGGGAGGGTGTTCCTGCTATTCGTCGGAGGTCAGCTGTGTACAAGCTGGCACATTCGGCTGCAAACAGCATATGTGCAGTTCGCAAGTGCATGTTGTCTGGGGCTGTCTCATCGAAATAAGGTTCGACTTCCCCTGTCTGGTGTGGTGGACCGTGAAGCTATCAAGTTGAATGAGGACTTGTTAGAGCTGATCATCAAGCACCTAGGCACGCGAATCGGCGTGGACACCTTGGAATTCCACATCACATCCATGTATGGTATCATGCGGATGTCGATTGCGAGAACCTGGGTTGCAATTGCACATGCGTGTGATTCTTGGTGGATTGATGATGATCAGACATATGCACGTGCACACATGCTTAGGTGATGCGGCTTCAACGATGGCATGGCTTTTGAAGCGGCTTGTGTCTGCATTCAACCGGATCAGCAACAGGCCTCACCGACCACGCTGTCCGGCCATCCGTCGGCTGATGGAGATCGCGGGCATTCCTGTGCCTGAGGGTTCGGTGGTGGATGGAGGTGAGGGTGAGGAGGAAGTGATCGAGGAAGAAGAGGAGGAAGAGGATTTTGAAGAGGATCCATGCATAGAGGACACGACAAATGCTGATGCTAACGCTCACAGCCCAACCATCATCGCCCCAGAACAGGAAGTGATCAATGATGCCAAGCCCGAACCATTAATCGCGGTGGAGCCACCCACAAAGTTGCGAAGGATGGGCCCGCCTGGCCTGCCTCCAACGTTTACTGAGACCTCCACTCTGCCTGCCCCGGAAAAGGAACCCCAAGCCTCTCAAAGTTCCGAAGCAGCAGCCTGCGACAAGCCTTCTGATGAAAAGGTCCCTGACGCAGGTGGGATCCATATCTTATCAAGCCTAAACCCGGTGCCCTTACTTTAGACTAAAACTTGTTTTTATCCCCAAGCCTGAAGATTAATGACATGTAATAATTAAATATGTTATCTATAATATATGTGTCGGGTTTATGACTCCCAAAGGTGCGGATCCATCAAGACCTGGCTCTTTGGGAGCTTGCGATAGTGGATCTACGGGCTTTTCGTCCGCAAATACATGATCCTACCCTAGGTAGTATAGGCCCGCAACATCGAAAGCTGATCCTACGACGTGCCCAGGTATGCCGACGCCCAAGTATGCGGCTCATGTGGTGAAGCAGCCGGGACCGGGTGGGGAGGAGTATGAATGCCTTCTTTGTGGGGCTACTGGTGCATTGCAAAGCATCCACGGGATCCCTTGTGAGCCGGGCAAGAAAGACAAGCTTCGAGAACTCGTGCCTAGTCAATATACTAGCCAGCGTGAACAAGTTGTAGCATTAAGTTATAATATATTGCAAATCCCAGGAAAAGCTTCGAGAGCTGGCCAAGCAGCTGGAAGAGGCAAAGGCCCAGCGACTCTATGAGAAGCCCAAGGACAAGCCTGCTACAGGAAACAAGACTGCACTAACTCACCTGTTCCTGCCTTAAGGATCGAATCAACTCAACCAAATCCCGATACCCTAAACACCGGCCTAAGCCCCCAAGCCCCTACACCCTAAACATATACGAGGCCCCGACAACGTGGAGACGCAGCTGTGGCCCAGCCCTGATCGGCAGCATGAGTTTCACGAGATTGGGCAAATCAATCGTACACTGAGCTTTGATGGAGCTGCTTCAGAGGGTTCGGCTTCGAGAGGAGATGGTTTCTGGCTGCTGCGAGAGCCAAGCCCAACACCTTCGCCGAAGCCCTTGCCAGAGGAAACCAACCCAACCCCCCCGCCAAAGGAAACCGCCCCAGTGCCAGAGCCAACAACAGGTCCAGAAGGCCCGGCAACATCGACAGTGGCTGAGGACGAACCCTTGATCAGTGTGCGCAGGCCAGTCAGGAGGGTTGTTCGGATTCTGAAAAGGTCCAGACGCGGGGAGAAGAAGGAGCAAGAGCACAAGGAGGAGGAGGAGGAGGAGGAGCCAGAAAGCAAACCCACAAAGGCCCTGAAGCCAGCTTTCGAAACTTTGCCACAGAAACCGCCTGCGATGGAGAAGATGATCCCCTCGCTGAACCCGAAGGAGCAGAAGGGCAAGCAGGATCCAGAAGCGAAGCAAGATGACGAGCAGGAGGAGGAGCAGCATGAGGGGTCGGATGAGGCTGAGGGAGAGGATGGCGATGAGGAGGCAGAGGTCGAGGAGGAAGATGAGGATGGGGACGACGCACCTGCTCTGAAGCGCCCAGCTGCTAAAACGACGCCGAAACAAACCCCCAAAGCTAAAGCGCAGGGCAAAGCAAAGGCTAAGGCTAAGGCTAAGGCTAAGGCTAAGGTCGCCGGGCGTCCCAAGGCAAAGGCGAAAGCTAAGGGCCGTGCTGCATCGAAGGATGATGCTGCTGATGATAAGGCGGCAAAGAGCCGCAAGAGCTGTGCCTATCACAAGGCGCGCAAGGAGGCACTCGATGGAGGGATGAGTCCGGAAGAGGCTTCGGACATTGCTCGTGAAGTTACTTTAATGCAGAGCAGGCATGCAGTCGTGTGCATGTACCGCCGATCAGTTTGCAGCATCGTGTACTCAGGCTTACCGCACAACGGTGTGAAAGGTTGATGGCTGCCAGCGATTTTAAGCGATCGATATGTGTGCAGTGGTGCTGTTGCCTTAGGATGCAATGGATCGATCCCACATGATTTCGGGAAGAGATGTGGTACAGTATGGCTGACGCAGGTTAAAAAAACCCTGCCAAAACCTGGTGGAGTCACGTCTGCCGGGATAGTGTACTGTACAAATTTTGGGTCACGAGGCCAGGGGAAGGATCGATCATAGATTGCCTTTCTGGCAAGAGTACACGGGAGACTGCTGGAAACAGTGCATTTGCAAGTGTGTGGGATTTGCTGTAGTCACCCGACCATGCAGTGAAGCTAGCTAGTATATCCCGCAGAACCCTTGAACCTAAACGAGCGCAGGTGCACCCTGCCTCAGAAGATGCCGGAGAAATGGGCCTGCCGGTCTCTGTCTCGTGGAACTTCTGCCGTGCTTATACCGTGGGTCAGTCTGCTGCATACAGTACATGGCATGTGCATGAGGGAAGCTAGCATACAACACTTTGGCCGGAGGCTCAAAGGCCTCCAGCTTGCAAAAATTAGATTAGCGCGGGCTAACATGCCGGTGCCGAGATGGGAATCCCTTTTGCCAAATCTCGTACAGCTCCAGGCCCCCAAGGTGCAATCGTTTATAATATAATAGATCGAGGTATGTGTTTGCAACTATAACCGTTTCTGTTGGCTGCAGGTCTTCATCGGATGTGTGCTCTAGCTGCATTGCTTAATATATAATGCTGTGCTAATGACGTCTCCACACCGTGCCCTTCCCGCCTCGGCTAGGTATTGCTACTGCTGTGGACATCGAACATCGACCTGCAGATGCAGATTGAGATGCTGGAGGTCTTTAGTGGGCGAGGCGCTGTGACAGAGGTGTTTCGCGATGCAGGAAAGGCGTGTGTGCAGATAGACAAGATCTATAGCAACAGCAATGCCATGGACTTCTTGTCACCAGGA